GTGTTTAGTATAAGACAGTTGTTTTGTCAGTGAACCTTGTGAGTTGTAATGGAGCCAAATTATGTAACGTCACCTTTGTTAAATGTTGCTGTTGTCCCTAAAAAGTTTGCTAGCTGCTAGGCTAATTTATACAATGTAAAATGCCATAGGCTTGTGCTAATAACGTTAGCATGTTGTATTTGCTTGGAAAACGTGTTTAGTATCAGACAGTTGTTTTGTCAGTGAACCTTGTGAGTTGTAATGGAGACAAATTATGTACCGTTACCTTTGTTAAATGTTTCTGTTGTCTCTGGTTTTATATGAGTAGAGGAAAAGTCCGCTAGCTGGTAGGCTAATTTATACAATGTAAAATACCATAGGCTTGTGCTAATAACGTTAGCATGTTGTATTTGTGGGGAAAATGTGTCCAGATAAAGACAAGTGTTTGTCTGTGAATGCTGCGAGTTATAGTGAAGCTGATTTGTGTTTGAAACTGTCTCTATTAAGCCATGTTTAATGTGTGTTTAATGTGTGTTTAAAATCAACTTATAAATGCTGACAACTGCGTAGGGTCTGCCGCGTAAGTATAAATCCCGCTTTAGAGCATTAAAGAGTTTGTTTAATGCACTTAATTCCCACACAACAAGAAATATGATAGTCTTTAAGTCTTGCATCACGATGAAGAGTGAAGTTGGGAAGCAAACACTTTAAAAAATAGCAGAAGAAGACATTTGTACCATTTCAATAATCTTTATTTTCATAAAAAAGTCAATCGGTTTATATCAGATTAAAGAAAGTAGAAACCAATAATAATCAGTTAGCTGGCGAGGCATCTTACAGGGGGGCGTGTCTCCCGACGGACTGACCAGAGTGATCTAGACACGCGGTACATGTTTACCCGAAAGTCAAGAAAGGAGGCGAAGTTTAAGACCCGACAAGAGCCAAAACATGAGCTGGGCAGAATTTTTAAAAAAAAGTCAAAAAGGGGAGAAGAAGAAAAAAAAAAAAATGTTGGCAAAACTGCATTTTCATCGGCCTGGCAAAAACTCGAATCCTGTTTCTGATTTAACGAGCAGCGGCCATCGAGATCACGTGGAATGTTTTGTATCCAAATTACAGCAGGAAGTACAACAATAATAATAAAAAAAAAAACTAAAAAAAAAAGAAGAGGGGGAGTATTCATCGTTTTCGCGACACCCAAACATGTTACGAGAAAGGACTGAGCCCTTTTTTTTTTTTATCGTTTAAATTATGTTTTGGAGTGGTGGAAGGGTGTGTGTGTGTGTGTTTGGGGGAAAAGAAGTAACAGGAGGTAGAAGAGAAAGACGGGAAAAAGACATTCTACTGCTCCTGCTGCTACTTATTGAAAAAAGAAAAAGGGAGGGGTAAGAAAAGCTCATCTGGCGGTGGATTTAGTCCGTCTCCTCTTCGTCTGACTCCGACTCTGCAGAGAGAAAACGCGGGTAAGATCAGTCATGATGATGATGAACATCCTTCCTGCTACGACATGTCAGAAACATCTGCCGTGAGAGGTTCGCTGCCTCAGGGTGAACGGGGGGGGGGTGTTGTTTTTTTTTACCTTCCTCGGCGTTCTTCAGCCACTCGACGAATTTCTTCATCTGCTCGAGGAAAACGCTCTTCCCCTTGGCAACGTGGGCATCGGTGTACCACTTCAGTATGGCCTCTTCACTCAATACGTCCGCTGTTACGGGAGAAGCAGAGTGTCAAAACAAAACCAGACACTGTCAGTGGATGGTTGGCGTGAGATTACTGGGCACGGACGCCACACCGACCTTTGTAGAGGAGCACCACGATCTTCTGAAAGGCCTTCATGAAGTGGATGTTGTCGTAGCAGTACTCCTGGATCTTCAGCAGCAGGCTGAGCTCGGACAGACCCTGGGAGGTGAAGGCTTTCAGCAGAAGGCTGTATTGCTGCGGAAATGGGGAGACATGTCGTAAAAGCTTGTTGGTGCTGATTAAGAGGAGGATCAAGCAGCCCTTCACACGACTACAGTTTGTTTGAGGGTTTGGTTGTTCTTGTTCCTGTCTCTGCTTGCTGCTTCACATCTTCAGTGACAATCACGTCAACAGTACAAACACTTGTGATGTAAGAAAACTTCCCACAAGCCCTCAACACTGAGCTCTGCTACTTCAGCGTCAAACAGACTGGAATGAAATAAGTTTGATACGAGTCCTCCTAAATCCAGTCACTCAGGCTCCAACAGGCCGATAAGGTATATAGTAAAACAGGTACGAACAAGACAATGATGGAAATTCAAACCAGAAGTGAAAATATACTCTTCCCAAGTAAACACATTGATGTCAGTTCACAACGATCAGTAAAAATGACCCTGACGATACCGTCTGTGCTTGTGGCTCCACCACCCTGATCCCCGTTTTACCACGCTACAAACACCTTCGACATTCGGAGCAGTTTGCTTCCTAAACATTTCCAGGCCCTGGCTTTAATCACCTCAAGTAACTGGTGTAATTCTTTTACGCTTTTCATCTTTTCACCTACATTTTCTCATTTTCCATAGCTTGGAAGGTGCTCGTTTAACGATGCAGACTCACTGTGTGATCTTAGTGCCGATACATAACCATGACGACCGCCTAGATATGCGACCCGGGAGTGAATGCTAATTGCTGCCTTTCCCATTATTTTCCCATTATTTTAAAGTTCATTTGACGTGCAGAGAGCATGTTCTTCCCCTTGGCATAAAAGACTGATGTTTTGTGGGTGTTCCCATAAATACAGACTGGTTCACATCCTACCTCAACAATAGAACCTTTTCCGTAAACATAGGCACACACTCCTCTCCCCCAGCTACTCTCTCTTGCGGAGTCCCGCAAGGTTCCATCCTAGGTCCCATTCTTTTCTCCATCTACATGCTTCCCCTCGGTCAAATCATTCAAAAATATGACATCTCTTTCCACTGCTATGCTGATGACACCCAGCTCTATCTTCCCCTCAATCCAAACTCACCAATATCTTCAACTGCATCAATGAAATAAAGTCCAGGATGGCAGTAAACTTCCTTCAACTAAATGAAGCTAAATCCGAAATTATTCTCTTTGGCCCCTCTGACAACGTCAACCTGATATCCAACAGTCTTGGCAACCTGTCCATTCTTATCAAACCTCACGTCAAAAACCTCGATGTCATTTTCGATTCTGCACTTAAGTTTGATAAACAGCTCAACTCAGTAGTCAAAGCCAGTTTCAACTTTGCACCATCGCAAAATTTAAACCATTCCTCAGTTTCTAGCCTCTCTCCACTGGCTGCCACTGCAGTACCATATTGATTTTAAACTTTTATTCACGTACAAAGCCCTGAATGGAGTGGCCCCTTCCTACATGACAGAACTTTTAACCCCATACTCCACCTCCAGACCCCTCAGGTCGGC